CACTCAGATGTCTTGCTTATCTATATTTACTGGCACTCTTTGAGGGGAGACAAGTTTCTAAATTTGGCTTTCATAAACTTTTAAAGTCAGGTACTGGCAGGGACACCAGTGGCAGCAGCGCTGGTGACAACAGGTCACATACCTGTCTGCAAATTACACATACTTGAGGGGAATGCAAGAACACAATTTGGGAACATCTGCTATGGTACTTCAATCAATGCCTTCAAGTCACCTTATTAGAAGGCATTGGATCTAGTCAAGTAATTGTGTACATCACATCTAGTTTTCCTATATATGATGTAGCTGGCACGGTAATATCTAACAGCTTTTGTAGTTTGTGGATAAAGGTAGGTTTGCATATGTAACTGCTGGAGCATTATTAATCCTAAGGGCTGGTAGGATTCAGGAGGGAAGAGGCAAACATCGAAAAAGAAGAGTCAAAGTCTGATCTGTGTTTAGTGCAGCTATATGAGCAAGCAGTACCACTAAATGCTTGCCCTCCGCTGACACTTTACTTAACAAAAAAGGAAAACAAGAACAAGGAGACTCGCATCGTAGTTAGTAGAGGATTAATGGATAAAATGACAGATAAAAAAGTTGATATGGTTCAGGATCTTGAGAACTACTGCCCCTTCATAAAAATAATTATGTGTCTCTGTGATAGAAAACCCTCACCATAAGCTGCTGCAGTGACCCAAGAAATGCATCCTACAGTGTAATATGTAACTTCTCCAGATGCCGCCAGTAAGGTAAAGGGTGTAACAAGCTATCTGTGAGGAGCTAGCTACCCCTGCTATATACAGTGAATGAGTTCCTGATAAGGAGGGAGAATATATGATCTATGAAAATGCCGCTGGCTTTTCCTGCAGCTGGGTGCTGAAGTTCTTTCTTCTTTGATTATCTCCTTACCAGTCTGTCCTCAAGACTGTTATAGCTACTGGTACAGTGTATTTCAAGCTATGAATAATGTGTCTTTCAATTTTCTGTACTATAAACCACAGCAGGTTTACATAATGTTACTCTATTGTATTACCATCTTTTTTGTAGAGGATAGATACAGATATCAGCACAAATGACAGACACTGTGGCAAATTGCACTGACAGACACTATTACCAAAGCAAGAACAATTTTTAGATGTTCCTTTACCACAGTGCTGCCAGATGAACTCTGTTGACCTAGACATACAAAACCTGAACTTGTTTGAACATTTTCATTCTGTCCTACAGGGCTGTGGAAATAGACTTCTGTCTGTCTACCTCCTGAAGGACGCTGCCCAGAGCAGCAGGGAAGACAGAGAGCTGCTCACATCTGAATTCCAAAATGGAAAGGATAATCTCCTTCGGATAGTGTGGCTAATTCCCACTCCCTTAATACGTCTTCCCTTCTAAATGGCTATGAGTCAGCATCAAGGAAGTGTAATTTCTTACTGATGTGTGCGTGTGTGATGACAGGTTACTGTTACAAATGGCATGTAGAGCAAAGTAAGAAATGAAAAGAGAAATGACACAAGTTTCATTCAACAGGAAGTTCAGCACATCTCTTACAAAATGTTTTCTTAATACATCATAGAGAGTTTTGGCTGTCTAGCAGATGGCTCTCTGCAGCGACTTTTAGCTTCTTTGCTTTCCCTTTTGAAGTTGAGCTGCATTACCTCACCAACCCAGCTGAGCCTGCCCACCAAATCCATGAGGTACTTGAGGCCCAGGTCCTGTTTTCATTGTTACGGTGCAGTTACCAGGGCATCAGACCATCCTGGGATTACACACACACATCTTGCCAACAGGAGTTACTCCCCGAGGGGTTGTCAGAACAGATTGTTTATGCCAGCACTGCACAATTTTGCTATTGCACTGTGCAAATCTTATGCACCTTTAAAAACAGAAGGGAGATTATTTCTACAGTATGAACAGCCACGTGGACTGGTAATGACTGAGCCCATAGAACTGCACAGATATCACAAAGTAATGCCCTATGCTTCCTACAGAAACAGAGAGCACTGTTTATATCTACGAGCTGGGTGCAAGCTTCTTTGCTAAAGAATGAGCAGCTGTGGTTTCACTGTGTTCTTCAGGCAAACGTTAGACCAGAATTACATCAAAATGACACATCCTCTCCTACTTTCTTTTTTCTTCCAATATAAAAAATGAAGTTAGCAACTGTTGTCCCTGCATCAGCTACACGCATCTGACGTAGCAGAACACACACTCTGTTCTCCTTTTGAACTTGAACCACTTTTTAAAAATTACCTTGTGCTTTTATATAAAAAATAAGCTCATTATTAGGAGATACCAAACTATGGTTAGGAATCTCATTCTCACTTTAAAGAGGAAGGAATCACAGTCTAAGGATGCTGGTTTCAAAAGTGGTCTGATCTGAGACATTTTAGAGTTCCAAGATCACTCTGGGTTGCCATAGAGGTTGGCAGCCCTTGGTTATGGAAAGCCCTGCTGTATATGTCTGGCCCTGGGGGTTAAAAATTAAGTTCTCAAAGGCAGCCATCACTTTTGGCAGTGTTTTGCCCTAAGAGATAGCATACTATGCACAAATAAGTAGATGCTGGATTGAGAGTTGGACCTGTCTATCCATATTTCATGTTCATTTTATGAGTTCTTTTACAGTTATAAAGAACAACTACATGGGCTCCTCTGCAATTCAGAATGAAATTGTACCAGAGAGACAGACTAGTTTAGGATGATAAGAGTTTATACTTTTGCCAAGCTCGAGGACATGAAGCCAAGATATCTTCAAATCCAGACCTCTGTAGGCAACAAAACACTGCCCTTTAATGACTGCTGCATCAGCTCAGTCACTTGAAAAAGGGATTAAAATGAGTTCTAAAATTAAAGTAGTTTTAACACTGCAGTTTCTAAATGAGTTGTAAAATAAGCTAGGACAAGTTTGCACAAGAAACATTTGCTATTAAGTGTAAAACCATGGGACCTGTGCCAGGCCAGCTGTGCTACTGCTCCTCCTACTAGTGGGTGCCAGAGGCTACAGACTCTGGCGGTAGAAAACAAGTTTCATTGCTCTCATTTGCTTCCCTCAGGCTGACACATGGAGTGGAGTTGTCAGGCTTCACAGCAAGCTGCATCGAGTCTTCTTTGGCTGGAGGGAGAGTTGCTGATACATCATGCTCTGAGTTTTGGCAGGAGAGACCACCAATGTTAAATGAAAAGAAAGAGACGTCAGGTTATCAACTCTTTAAGGCAGGGTATACGAGTATATGAGCAGCAAGAGAAACAGGTCATAGGAAGTTCCCTATCTAGTTAGATACACTAATTAGCTATCCACAAGCTGAAGTTCAGGTGAAAGCTGCTCAAGCACTTGAAGTCAGGACTCAGGAATGCTGGGGTCAAGAGCCAGAAAGGGTCAAAGATAAAGGTCTGGAAATGCAGCAAGATGTAGTGAAGCTAATGGGCAAACAAACAACATGAAAAGAAAAATTTATAGCTCACAAATTACTCATTTGAAATTATACATATAAAAAATCAAAAGAATTTTCATATGTGGTTTACCAAAAGAAACCACATCTCTTGATTCATTTGAAGAATAGCAACAGGAAGATCTAAATCTGGAGTAAGTATCATCAAGGCAAATTAAAATACTTATATTTGCTTTATAGGAAATAAAGGAGGAAGATGGTCAACCTCTCAAGTATTACAGAAATGTGAAGTGACTTGAACTCAAAACTACTTAGATGTGTTATGTAGCAACATAAGCTTTAAATGCTTGGTTTTTTAAAACAATGGGATCCAATAAATGATACAGACCAGTTACTGAGGGAGGCACATTTACATCAGTTGTAGCTAGTTCATTTTCCAGAAAGCTGGAAACAATCTTTTCTTTCTTTTCCAGACTGTGAGTTTGTGAATGCAATGTAACTTCTTCTACACATGGGTCCATTCTTATGCTTTCATTATTTATTCAACACTCATATGAAAATACTGTAACTGGCCTAAGCATCTTAGCATTCTTACATCATATTACCTTGAATAACTGAATATTCAGCAATGTATATACATTGAACCTGAAGTGGCTGGTGTATCAGCAGTGATAAAGAACGTGAGGTAAAGATACAGATAGTTCAGTGGTTGACATATTTACCCACATAAGCTGTTCCTATCTATTAGCTATAAGGAGAAGATTTATCATACAATTTAAATCAGTCGCTGCACAGAGAGGAATGTGAATTCCATTGTTTCAGGATAGCTTATTGTGTTTCATCTTGAAAAAAGAGAAAGATATTGTTAATACATATAATTATCCGCATTTCGGGATGTGTCCTACTATTACGTTTCTGCACTAAAGAATCAAATTCATCTCCAAATTCAGACAACCCCAAACTATCTATAAAAGCATTATTATAGCTTGGTAATTGAAAAACACCCTAAAAATATACTGAAATTATGTTTGGCCTGGTTTCCATACATATCAAAGAGGAGAGATGATTCCTGGCAAACCTGGAATCTGTATTTTGAACAAGGTGTTTGCCAGCTGGCTCTTCACATTCTGTAGCAAGTCTGTGCATTACTTTAGCAAATGTTCTGAACTAGACCCCCTTGAACATTACAAAATCCATCACTGTAATAACAAAACAAACTACTTTATTTGGTGGACCTAGCAGTTTCAAGTGTAATCAGGAAGTAAATTATAAAAAAAAATATTGTCTTGATCTTGAAATTCATAAATAAAGATGTGTGAAACTTGGAAACACTATCAACACAGCAAATTTCTTCCGTTCCTCCCCCACCGTTCACATCGCGGAAAAAACATTTTACTTTGCTCGCAAGCGTTTCGTTACAGATTGGTGCTTTCTCCTGTCTCACATCGACAGTAAAAAATTGTTGCTCACCAGTTACAGAGAGTCCCACCGGACCTAAACTCTGCTTGAGTCAGTGGGACTGGCACTGCCTGGCAGGGTGCTTTGCAGAGATAGAAGTGACAAAGCCCTTGCTCAAAGAGCTTACGCAGCTCTAGAGGCATCAGCGACCAGCAAGAGGCTCAGCTAACAGGGAGCACAGGGGAGGGTCAGCAGCCAGGGGCAACGGGGATGTAAACAGACTGCCTGCACCGGTTTGGGTCAGTACGTCTATCCGAGCACTCTTTTACCACCCTCTCACTTCTTTTTATTTTGATACAGTAAAGCCAGTCAGGATGGAGATTAGAAGGAGGAAGGCAGTCAAAAAAGGGACCCCTAAGGGAAGATCGGAACAAGAAGGTGGATTAGGATCTCCTGACCGGGTGGCGGGGTCGGGTGAGGTGGCGAAGGCGGACGGGCCGCTGGCACGGCATCGCATAGGCTCCAGAAGGGTAAGAAGTCTTGTTTTATTCTTTCTCCACACCCTGTTTTTGTACCGAAATACAGCTGCGTGCGCGGACACGTGATTTTCCTGTAACCAGCCGCTCAACATCCCCCCGGCCTTGCGCTGCATTAGCACCGGGTGCCTCCCCGTCGTGCATCCCCACACACACGGCGCTGGCCGTACAGCGCCATTATCCTGCCACAGGCGGGGGATCAGGCTTTTAATAAGGATACCACGGCCCCGAGGACTGCGCTGCGAGGGGAAGCGGCGGCGGCCGCCGGCCAACATGGCCTTGAGGGCAGGGCCGGGAGGGGAAGCGGCGCGGTCGCTGCTGCGCAGGCGCCCGGCGAGGGGAGGCGAAGAGAAGCGAGGGGAGCCGGGCCCGGTCGGGCCGGGGCCGCGAACGGCGGGGCTGCGGGCGCGGCTTCGCCATGCCCGTGCGGTTCGGGGTGAGGCGGGAGGGGACACCGGGCCCAGGGGGCGGCAGGAATGGGAGTGCGGCCGATTCTGTGGGAAAGGGGAGGCCCCTGCGCCGCGGGCACTGGCCAATAAAGATATAAACAGTTCGGTCGTGCAGGTGACAGCGGGTCCAGGCTGTGCTCGTTCCTGGAACTGTTCGCTTAAAGATATAAATAAGGGTTGGGGTTTTGTTCCTTTGTTCGTTTGTTTTGGTTTTGTGGTTTTGTTTTTATTTTTTATATTTTGGTGCGTGAAATGCAGTAGTTTTTGTTCTCCGATGGGGGTGGGTTTGGAAGCCGCAGAGCAGCCTGCCTGCTTAGCCCATCCCGCAGCAGCGCGTTGGTGTTTTTTCCACTCGGAGATCTGTTACTAACAGGAGCAGTGGAGCAGGATATGCACCGGTGGCTTGACAGACTCCTCTCTGTTTGCTGCAGGGACTGAGTGAATATAAGAGAAACTTCAAATGGAGAAGCCCAGAATTTTGTAGCCCAGAGAAATCCTCGTGGGCAGGACTTCGGTCGGACCAGTTTGGTAAGCGCCTCTGGAAGCTGTCCACCTTGACTGCAGCCAAAGCCCAGAAAGGTTTGCCATGATGAGTGCATGGCCACAGTAACTGGTGGTATTTGCAGTTTATGCATTTTGTACAGTTAAAAGTGTATTCTTGGGTCATCATTTAGTATATGTTTTTGAACTCCATATTTTTTCTGGCTACACTGAAACTTTCTTTTTTTTAATTAGTGCTATTTATATATACCCTGAAAAAAAGTAATTTCTGACTTTTAGTGGCATAAGCCAAGGCCCAAACAGATGCAGTGTAAACTCATACAGGGTGTGCAGAGAATGATACTGGATTACCTGTGGTGTATGGAAACAGTAAGTAGAATTCCGTATTTCAGATGAGACTGACTTGGGGCAAGGTTTGATACAACATAAAATTGTTCTGAAGACTAACAGGTACAGCTAACTGAAAGAAAAGAACAGTCATTAAGTCTGGGATTTAAGGATTGCAGACATTGTCATGGCAGGGGAATGTGGGGATAGCAATTGGAAGACGGAGGAAATAGCATCTGGATTGAGAGGCCTCTAGGGAGTTGAGGAGTAGGAGTAAGCTGGACAGTGATGGCGGCTGTGATGCTTGGAAAAGTAGTAGTAAAAGATAGTAATTATTCTAGTGGCACAAGGCAGATTAAAAAATTAAATTGTGCAGTTCAATGCAACTGCACTATGCAGTCTATGTAATTAAGAGTACAATGTATCGATTCCTACAATATGATAAGTGCTATAACTTATTGCCTAGTAATTAAGAACCAAATACTGGGAGTAGGGTTTTTTTTAGTCAAGATGGTAGACATTTTAATAAATAATTTAATCTTGTTAAAGATTATTTATATTACTGCTTTCTTCCGTTACTGCAAAATGTATCTTTCTTTAACCCTGCTTTCCCTAGCACACGGGTCTGTGTGTGGGTACCTGTATTGAGAACTGTAATTTTCACGAATTCTGAAATGCTTAAGCATACAAACACATTAACATCTTTTTAAAATTGCAATCTATGCCTATTTTCCAGTCAAACTAAACTGCAAATTTTACAAGACTTGCAATAACCCCATGAGTTAGCAATACAGCAGTTTCTCCTCTTTCTGATGTTGTAGTGGTGGTTTTGTGCATGCTTGGTTAGTTTTTCTATATATTTATGTTAATTTTCTTTTCCCACCATTTAACCACCATATCTTTAAATGGCACTGTTGGCACAGTGGACTTGCAGATTGTTATTGATAATCTACTTATGGTTCTTCTTGGTGAAACACATAGTTGGCAGTTTTAGGAGTCACTTGGAACACCACTGCAGAAAGTTTACAACTGCAGGTGCTCAGAGGTCCTTTCTGCTACTTTTCCAGTGTTTTGCCACTGGTATTATTTCCTAGTCCCTGTATGTATAGTCAGACATCCAGACATTCTGTATATCTTTCACCATAGGTTGTTCTCTCTATGTTGCTTCTTCGTGAGATAGGAGTGTCTCCTTCTCTCTCTCCTAGAAAGTATTTCTTTAAGGCGTAAGTGACTTTCACTTACTTTTCCATCACAGATGAGCACTTTGAAGTGGATTCCTGCTTTGAATATGTTCAGTCATTCAATACTCTTCTTAAAATGGTGGGGTAATTTTATTTTCACCTGCCTGTGTAAAGGCCAGCAATTCTTAAAAATAACTTGATACCTGGTTTTCTTACAAAGTATTTTTCTATTTTTGGAAATGTTTTTGTGTTCATACTGTAAAAAGGCACCAGGTATCTGAGATGGTGCTAAACTGCAGGGTGGGTGGGGATCTGTCACAGTCATTGAGAACCTGTTCAGCAAGGTATGTTGTGCACGGTAATGAGAAGTGCTTCTAGCATAATTTATGGCTGCAGGTTGTTTGTTCTGTATCTGTGTTAGCCACATTCTTTTCGCTGGTTGTGTTAGTTTTCTTCTTGTTCAACTCCCAGAATCAACTTGCACAAGATTGTCCTTGATTGTGGACAGTTTTACTTTATAGGGTTTTATCCAATATTGTCCTGGAGCACCACGTTCCTGTCTTTTTAGTGGAAAGTCATTTTCAGATAGGAAAGAACACAGAACTTCACAGCCATGCCCATAGTTCATAGTCTGTCATTGCTCAAAAATACTAAAACAGTGCTTTCTAGTAATCAGTTGTATGATAAACTTTCAGTTTATTATTGTAATAGAGTGATATTATGTCTTCAGTAGAATGTTTTTGTTAAACCTAATGTGTTTTTTTTCAGGAATCACTAGAGAACCAAAATTCATTTCCAAGAGAAGGGTACCTTACTATGATCCACAGATTTCGAAGTCCTTTGAATGGACAGCAGATTGTGATTTGAATGACCCACTTGAACCTGAAGCTGCAGAGTTGCACACAGACCACAACAACAATGATGTGAATCAGGAAGAAATTGAAACAGTAGAAGGACCCAGACTCCCCCCAAAAGTGCGGTCACATTTGGTAGATTCTAGCGGTGAAACAGCTCTTGCCCTTGCAGAGAACAACATGAAGAAATCACCCTATGAAGCTCCACCAAAACAAAATGAAGCATTTTCATCTCCGAAAAAGGAATTAGAAAAAATGGGTAATGGGGTAAGGGAATATTTTTTTTTTTAATTGACCAGTATAAAAATTGCTAACAGTGTTTTCATGCACATGCTCAGACTCTCTTGTCTAACTCTTTCTTTAGTTGTGTATTTTGGTACTCTATGTTGTAGCTTCTCTGTTGGGAGGGCAGTACTTTTTGAGATCAGATTTTGGTGCTACTTAATTCAAGAGGAATTTGCTCTTCTTTGTCATCACTGTTGTTTTCAATTAAACTAGCCAATAATATGTAAACATTTTGGGCTTGGTGACTGTAATGAGAAAATGTACTTTGCATTAATTTTGTTCATAAAACTGAAACACCAACGACTGGTTTGAAAGTGTGTGTTGAAAGATGTCTGACTTGTAAAACATTGTAGGAAAGGAAAGAATCGTTATTTTTTTTCTTGTTTTATGTTACCAGTTTCACAGAGCCCTTCAGAGGAAAGCAGATTTGAATATTTCACGTTTAAATACTTTCCCTAGAAATTCTGAATATCAAAGCCAATTTGTCTGGAAGAGTCCTCATGAAAAGTCACCAATACTTGCAGCTGAACAGGTAACTTTAAGGAATCCAAAAAGTAAATTAATACTTCCTTTTATGTATCAGCAGAGTTGCTTACCTTCAAAGATTTGGGTTTTTCCTTTTTTGGTGGGGGAACAACAAACTTTAATGTTGTTACGTGATTTCTATTTTTTTCTCTCACTGTATGAAAGTGCATTATAATGGGATTTATTTCCATGTGATTCTTTATTGTGGTCAGGTCTACTTATTTGTTCTCCTTACGCCTGATTGTATTTTGTTCTGTTTGCATTAATTTACCTGTGTTGTCACAGTTTCTTATTGTCAGTCTCCATCTCTGTGCACATGTACTTCTAAGCCCTAAAGTGCGTCTCTGCAGTGTTTTTTCTTTTATGAGAACATCTTATATTTAAAAGTGGAGTCTTCCAATTTAAAGATACTATTCTGGCATTTTACTACATCTCATGAGCTTTGGGATTTTTTAGCATTTTGAAAATACTATTTCTAGTCAGACCACAAAGAGTAACTGATTGTGAGACTACTTTGTGTTTTCAGTTAATTGATACTGGGATTGGGACTTGAGAGACTGTTTTTACAGTATAAAATAGGCACTTTTACTTTTATTTTGTCTTCTGTTAGTAGGATTACTAGAGGTGGTGCGCTCTCTCTTTTTATCCACAGGTAGCAGATTTGTTCAGTAACGACTTTCAGGGGAAGTAAATGTTGATACTTAAGATCAGTCACTGTCCTGTCTTTTTCCGTTGAAGTGCCAAGCAGGTGGATTTACTATAAGATATGCTTCCCAGCAGTCCCTTATCCAAGGAAAACTCTTTAAAATGAGTGACGGTAGTATAGAAGTCAAAGAATCCTTTGAGAAAGAGGCAGGTCCCAGAAAGTCACCTTATGGAAAATTTCAAAGAGAATTCTGTTTGGTTCTGTGTGAAATCAGTTTGATAATGTCATTATTGATGCTTGTTTATCTGCCTTTTTCAGAGGATAGACTTTGAAATCTAAAACAGCAAACTTTTTTTTCATAGCTTATACAGAATAAGAAGCAGTGAGAATAAGTTTGTAGGCACTATACATCTGTGGATAAATAGAACTTAGAGAAAATTTCATTATAAAAATGAAATATTAACAAATTGATATTTTTGATGTTGATATGACAGAGAATATACCTGAAAACTGAATAATGACAATACCTTTCCCTTGAAGAGATTCAGTGAAAATCTCAAAGTTATCAAGTCAGACCCAAATTCTCATAGCAAAGCTGAGGAAAATGTATGCTTGTCACATATGGCATGGTGTTTAAATTCAGCACCCCATGAAGGGATGATACACGACCACATAGCAAATTCTCTACCTTGGTTTATAGTACTATATTGATTGGAAAATAATGGATTTTTAATTTACCCAGCCCTAAGCATCCAGCTCTAGAACACAGAGCAGTTGTCTGTTACTTATGGACTGGACATGTACTGAGGAGGCATAGGGAAGTTTTTTGGCGTGCCTTTCAAAAAGCATGATTCTGCATACAACTCTGAAGGTGAATTGTCTTCCCAAATAAACAAAACCTCTGATAGTAAACTTTAGTAAGAACAGCATTTGATCACAGGTTTAACTGTGTCTGACTTGATCACTTTTAAATTTATTTTCATCAGTTTAAATTTTTCCTGGATTTGTCCTGAGTTCATTAGTCTGCACATGCTGTATTGTACCCACAACTATCTCTCTGCTCATACGTGAGTCTATTGGCGTGAATCAGTTACCAGACTTTGAAAATTTACTCTCAAGGTAAGCAAATCTCACTTTTTTCTTTGTTTTGTTTTCTTTCTCTCCCCAAGGTTATTTGCAACACAAGGAAATCCACACCTGTGGTTAAATCTCCTGCAATTACTTCTGAAACTGCATATGAGAGAAATTTCAAAGGGTCTCCTCCTGTTAAGGATCCGCAAGAGAGAGGTGTTTCAGAAGAGAAAGAATTTCCGGTTTGTGAACAAGTAAATCTTTCCCTGAATGAAAGGCTTTAGTAGTACTTATATAGTTTTGATCTATTTTATAATGGGGTGGGTTTATTTTGAAATTTTTTAGTTACATTGTAGAGCCTTTGCTAATGACACTGGACTCAATAGTGGTTTTGCTATAAAAGACTGAAAATAACACTGTACAGCTCTGCTCTTTGGGGTTTCTGTAGTGGGTTTTGTAGTTTCTTTTGTAGTTAATTTTTTTCAGTTTACAATGAAATTTTAAGTGTGTATTTCTGAGTTTTCAGGTGGTTTCATTTATTTTTTTAAATATTTAATTCTTTTGTTCCCAATTGAAACTTTGTTTTTAGTTATTAGGACAGTTTCTGAAGTCTGAATCTCTGATTTATACTCTCGTTGCTACCAGTGTTGTCTCTTGGTGTGCAGGAGGGCTAAATGGGAGGTCTGGTACTTTTTGAATGTCATAAATTAGAGATAGTGTAAATAAAAAATTAAGGCGATGTATGAAAATTGTTACAATTGGAACTGATTTTCAGCCAATAGTTGTAATTTGAAGAAACATGGAGGAAGGGTTACAGTTAATAAGTTGAAAGGGTAAGTAATTGTATGGGGCTATAACAGGACATTATGTAGCCTATGTAGATTCTGTTACTCAGTTCAAAATATCATCTTTTGTGAGAGTAAAAGACATTTTTAAATTTCTATTTTTAAAAGACATTAAAGCAACAATTTTAAATGACATTTTAAAGTAAATTTTAAATATTAAAATGTCTTTTATGCAAATTTGGCTGTCTTGCATTTCCTTGTCTTGCTGTTGACTTGTACAAACTTAAGTGGACATTTAGGAAACATGCCTATGTCATTTTTACAAGATACATGAAATGAAATGGAATTTTTTCAGACTGAGACCTTCTAAAAATAGGTGAGAGCAATTTAGAGTGCATGACTGAACCTATTTTGCAAAGGGGATGTACGAATGTTTATTTTTGTAGCAAGCTGCCAAGTATAGTGTTGTCTAAACTCCTGCAGGTTAGCTAGCCATCCTTCAGGTACAAGGACCACAAATGAGTCTCCTCACTACTCATCTCTGTTCTTGAGAAAACAGAAAGGACCACTGTCAGACAACATGTTCCCTAGGATGACTACTGAGGAAAATGTGTACTTCATATGCAGGGCCTGTGGCTTAGTTTAAAGCCATTGGTACTTCTGAGGTGATTGTTGGCTTGGAGGTTTTGTCATATAAAACTCAGACCTGCCCAGTGCTTTAAATCCCATTTGGGAATGAGGAATTTTATGTCCCCTTTTGCCTCTTTTAGCAGATACAAAGAAAGCTTGAAAAGCCTGAGGCTTTCAGGAAGCATTCGTCTGGTTTTAATATTGGAATTTCAGGTTGTTTTTTGAGAACAGCTAATACAGTGAAGTAAGAGAAGTCATGAGAAGGGAATTTTGTTGAAAGTGTCTAAAAAACTGGTTGTTTATACCAGTATCTCTTCTCTGATTAGTATCTTGAAAGACTTTTGGGGGATTTTGGTGGATTTTTTTTTTCCCTTGAATTTGAACAGTATCTGTGAGGATCTCTAGCAGAATCAGAAGTCATGCATGAGATTTTCAAGAGAATAAAATAAATCAGGAAAAAAGAATCTTTTGTGTAAAAACCAAACAAATCAATCTAATAATTTGTAAAACACAATGGCAGGAAATAAAAAAAAATTGCCTTTTGGACTCAGGTTAGAATGTGCAGGTATTGTATTATTTTATTTCTGTGTTTCATGTTAATTTTGTAAAATGTACAAAACGGGTCATCTAACTAACTGAATGTTGTACTCAGAGACTTAGCTTTGGCATTTTGTTAGTTTATTTTTGTATTAACAAAAGAATGTGATATTTTTGTTTATATTAAATATGCAAAAGAGCTAACACTAAAATAAAATTAACTATTTGCAAGAGCTTGATGTCAAAAAGAAATATGAGGGTTTTCAGATTGTTAGCTAATGTGGTATTTTTAAAATTATCTTTGCCTTAGAGTAAGAGGGAAGAACCGTTTCAAAAACCAGCAGAAGATGCAGCAAAACAAGGGAAATCAGAACAAAAACATCCTAAACAAAAAAACAAGCAACATATCAGTCCAAAACCCCTCTCTTTACATACAAGTCATGGGTATGTATAAAATAGGAAAACCTAGACTAGTGAGTAGGTGTACAGCAGCCTAATATTTAGAATGATGGACAGTGAACCTTTAACCACACCATGCTACAGTTGCAGGGGCAAATGCCCCCTTGCAGCGCTGGGATTGAGTGTCCTGTGGTTACATCTAAACCTGGTGTTAATTTCCAGCCTCTTCCCTGGTCAACAGAAGTGGAAACTTTGTAGCCACTCCTGTTCAGTTGAACCTCGTGATGCAATAATAGTATTACTTATAAATTTAACGTGAATGAAATTAAATTGGTGCAGTGCTGCTACTAAACTTTTAGCAAGTCCTTCAGAAGTCATAGTCACCTCTCAAACTGCTCTCCTGTGCTTGCTCCACACCTTAAAACTGTGGTAATTGTACTGGATCTCTGCTTTTTCTAGTCCCTACTGCCTTCTGTCCCTGAGTAACAAAAGCAGACACATGAGGTAAAGAGGAGTAGAGAGATCTGTCCCATTTAGGGTAATCTGACAAGCATGGAAATGAAATGAAATTGTGTGTTACTGAGCGCTATCAAAGTATCTTTTTTTTCTGCCACATGCCTACATTGCAGGAATTGAACTCATATTTCCATTTTATACACATCTGAGATATGTCAAAAGAAATAAAGGGCAAGAATAGACGTGGGCTTTAAAATGCAAAAATGAACCATCTCTCTTGTCTTTGTGCTTAATATATGTTTTGAATGAAAGCGATTGCTTTCATTCTTTCTGGCAGCGTTAAGGCATTAAATTAAAAATGGGAGAGGAGACTTACCTGAGTCTTAATGCTGTTGGATATTGGGTGTTGATTACAAAATTCTGTGAAATAAAATTGCTTTATGAAAAAGTAAGCGGATATAGTGTAGCTAAAATCTTTAACTCTTTGGTTTTCTTAGCACTCTGATGTGGTGCATTGTAGTCAGTTTTGCAGTGAGTACTGTGTAAAATTCTTGATCAGATGGTGTGGCTCTTTTCATTTAAGGGTAAATTTCTTCCTCTTATGCCTTCAGTGTGGTAGCATAAGACAGATTTTTCTTAAAAAATCACTGGGCAAATAGCTGTCAAAATGTGCAAGTTCTCAACATGCAGACAGAATGCAAGCTGTGTTGCATGGCCTGCTTTTGCAGAGTGACTGCAATCAAGGCATAGCAGTGATGTGTTTTTCGAGCTAAACCATTAGTTTTGCAACCAAAACTGAAAAAATTCAATCGGTTTTAAAGAAAGAGACATATTGAAAGAAATTTTGAGTATAAAGGGTTTGTGACCTTGGTATTTTTCTTTTGAAAAGGTGCTTTTTATTCTGTGGCTTCAGGCTTTTATGACCTATTTCTGAAGAAGGATTTAAAAAGAGGGCTTTTTCACCCAATGCTGAATATATTAAAATAAAGTTAGTAATGTTCTGAAGCAAGATTAAAACCAAAAATGTCTTTAGATTTAAGCCGATACATCCACAGTTCAGTGCTTAAGGCCTTGAAGTACTACTTGTTGCTTGCTATAGGTTAGATGATGTTAATTTTTCTGTGTATGTATGTGTGTGGCAGAAGGGAAAATGGACCCATCTTTTCAAGTAATGAGGCCTTTTGAAGATCAAAGCCAGTAGAACATAGTTAACTGAATTATACTGACTAGTGTTCTGGAAGTCAGATGTTTCTAGCCCCAGCAGTTGACCCCACCCATATGCAGAGTGCCTTTAAAGTGGAGTTCATAGAAGGAAATTCTCAGACACATTAATGCCAAACCAGCATTTTTACTTAAATATACCTTATTAGCGATTTGAGTCAAGATGCTGCACTTTGCATTGAAGTGATTGAGGCTTATGTGTGTATCACGTTCTCCTGATTTTGCTGTCAGAGCAAAAGCTTCAGGTAGAAGTGTTGTGAGGAAAAAACAATATGAATATGTACTTAAAGGGCCACCAACTGAATGAGGTTTTTTTCACAGCTTTCCTAATTGTATTGGTTTGAGTTGTTTGTGCATGTGTTTTTCACATCTCACTGGCATTTAAGTGCAAGTACATGTGTGTTTATTGATGTAACTTTAAAAGTGCTCTTAAAGAGTATTCTGGATATCAGCTTTACCCTTTCTGTCTTTTTTTTCCTCTCCTCATTCTTGATTTCTTAGGAAGATGAACACTGAATATAGGTCAAAATTTTTGTCCCCCGCCCAATATTTCTACAAAGATGGAACTTGGTCTCGTATTAGGAGTAAAGTTCACAACCAGGTGAGTACTCTTAGAAAACCTGAAGCCTAAGTATGCTTTGTATTTTGATTTTTAGATGCAAAAACTTCGAATTGTGGTGTTTATAAGATAGAGTTTTGAGATTGTAATGCTAATGACTCAAGCTCCCTAAGGTGAGTATACAAAGACAGTTAGGTTCTGACAAGTCAGTATAATACATAACAAGAAAAAAAAGAGATGATGAGACTTAAAAAATATATTACTGTGACATCCAAAGTGAGGGAGGAGTTTTGTTTCCCTTACAATCAGAATCATTCAGAACAGAGTCTCTTCTGGCGGGTAATCTTGCTATTGATGTTCAGCCCAGTTTTAATAAGTGGAAGTGTTCAAAATACAGAGTTGAATGATAGGAGATTCCAAGGGAATAAAAGGAGAAGGCCACCATAGTATCAACCTAGGTCAGCTTAATGGTCAGGCTCAGTTTCATAGCTTATGATGCTGAATCCATTCAAAGCAGTCAACTGAATTCAGTCATACACAACATAAAATTGACAATTTTTCTTGCAAGTTTCAGCCAGACCGTGTATTTCCTTGTAGTTTATTCAGTAGCTGCAATCCATATTACACTGTGTAGGAACTCATTTGACGGAACTCTTGAAAATGGTGGGCAGCCTTGAGACCATAGGATTACTTAGCAGCATTATTAATTATGATTTCCTGAATTAGTTAAGTAAATCAAAACCCTTAGTGTGCTAAGAAACTTCTAGAGCTAGTTCTGCAACTCTGATTTCATTTAATTGACGTAGGTTTCTCCCAGCTGATAGAGGGAGCCTTTGTGAGACACTGCACTGCTAACTGTGTGGCAGGTACTTGGAAATGTGGGTTTTCTCACCAGTCAGGACTAAGGTTATGTGGAAGGTAGAACTGGAGCAGATGGTTCTAGGATGTTGGGCTTTGAGAATTTGCAAATAAGGTTCTCTGAGAATTGCAGGAGTGGTGTGGTAGCATTCAGTTCTGTGTTTTCTCACTGGACTTAATCTAGCAGGTCATTTTCTTTTTCATTTTAGGCAAAAGGAAATATTTTATAGAATACATACAAAATACATAATGAGGAATAGGTCTCAAAGTTTAAAGTGTATTGTAGTATAAGATGATTCATAATCAGATTTTGTATATGCATGCATGAGATAATCCATTCTGTGGAAACAGCCTCAGGAGAATGTTAGAGAACTGAAAACAAGCAACAGTTTTATATGTACCAATACATGCATTAGATTTACTGTAACTAAGGCTGTAGAATATTGTGAACTATTGCATGCAGCCTAAGTGGTATACAGAATGTTTCTATAGAATATTATATCATTTTTCTGGCATGTAAGATTTAATTTGTTCATGTTACATCAGTAACATTCAAAACAATAAGGAGCGGTGCTCAGCTTCAAGAGTGACTGAGTTGTAGGCAACTAAAGGGAAAGGGATACATTGCCTTGAGGTATATTGTGTTTGTGGCACAGTAAGCTGGGAGGAGTCACTGCAGTATAGTCAAGGGAAAGAATGAGGAGACTGCAGCTAGAGAATGGTTGTTTAGCTTTACATGCAGCATTTAATTAAGGATTTCCCACACTGTAGCAAAGTGTTTTGGGTGTGTCAGACTTTTCCACGGAGATTTTCGTGCTGAAAAGGGAATTGCAGGAAACTAGAAAGAAGTTACTTGCCAGTAGGCATGAAGAATTAAAAAAAAGAATTATTGTCATTTTTGGGACCTTCTAAATGAAGGAATTGTGCTGGGTAGCTGGAAGAGCCAAATTAATTTTAAGACTATAATAACAAATATTGATGACAAATGTGCTTTAATTGCATACAGGTTTTCATGTGTGCATATCTACATTAGATCCTGGTATGAATTCATATAGAAGAGATTTTTATAGTTGCAATTACCTGTCTCTGTTAGACTTTAAAATCACATGCCTGTCAGGGTTTAACCCCAGTAGGGAGTTGAGCTCCACAGAACCAGTTGTTCACTCCTGCACAGTGGGATGGGGGAGAGAATTTGGAGGGTAAAAGTGACAAAACTCGTGTTGAGATAAAGGTAGTTTAATAGGTAAAGCAAAAGCCATGCATGCAAGGAAAGCAGAACAAGGAACCTCCAGGAAAACAGGGCTCCATCACGTGTAATGGTTACTTGGGAATACAAATGCTATCATTCCAAATGTTCCTGCCATCCTCCTTTCCCCAGCTTTTCTTTCTGGGCACAGCAAGAATATCTCTTTTTGGTTAGTTGGGGTCAGCTGTCCCAGCTGTGTACCCTCTCAGCTTCTTGTGCTCCCCCAGCCAGCTTGCTGGCAGGGCAGGGTGAGAAACAGAAAAGACCTTTTAGCTCCATTCAACAACAGCTAAAATATCTGTGTTGTCAACTGTTTTCAGCACAAACCCAAAACATAGCCCCATAGGAGCTACTTAATTTAACACATATGACTTATATCATAAAGAAATTTATCCCAGCCAAAAGCAGCGCAGCATATCAAACCAGTTTTGCTAATAGACAAAGAATAATTAACTTGTATGAATGTGTTACTGTGTGGGATATTTTCTATATACAGTTCTTTAAATTTGGTATTATCTTATTATTTCCATATGTATCACTGAGGGTTGTAATTCTTAATAAAGCTTTTTGTGGGTAGAGGGAAAGCAAAGAAGAAGGTTAATGCTTGTAATTTTCTGGTCTTCAGGATTGGTTGTAAGAAAAACAAGCTTAAATCTTTAAACTTCTGTTAACATGAGAATAAAAATCCTGATAGACCTGATTCTTGGCCAGGCTTTTTTTTTTCCTCCTCTCTGTAGGATCTGTCAATATTTGTGTTCTAAGAATGATAAAATGGGATCCAGCATGGCAATTCCAAAATGTTGGAAGTCAAGCAGATGAGGCAGAAGCCTGTCTTGGCTGAGCTGGGATCTTCTTTTGAAGCTAAGGCAAAAATGGAAAGTGTATGCCCAGTGGAATCAAGGTTATGTGACATGGGAGGACTCCAGAGATGCTGCTCACCGCTGTAGGGAGAAAATCTGTGTGGCTGAAGCTCAGCTGAAGTTGAAGCTGAACAATACTGTGATGGATAATAAAAAGAGTTTTTTAAAATATGTTAATAGCAAAAGGCAGTGCAGAAACAACACTGACCTGTTACAGAATGAGGATGGTCACCTCACAAACAGGCATAGACAAGGCAGAGATCTTTAATGCTTTCTTTTCCTCTGCTTTCAACGCTGGTGATGGGCTAAGGGGTCCCAGTGCCCTGAGCTGAAGGACCATGTCTGTGAGAATGATAAACTGCCAGTTGACCCTGAACTTGTGTGGGATCTGCTGCTTGAACTGGATCCCTGGAAGTCTAGGGGACCTGATGAGGTTCCTCCGAGAATACTCAACTCAAGGGTGATTGTCATTGCAAAGCCTCTCTTAATGACTTTTTCGAATGGTCTTGAGAATCTGGAGAGTTGACTGCAATTGACTTGAAGCTGGCTAATGTTGTCCCAGTTTTCAAGAAGGTCAAGTCAGATGACCCTGGAAACCATAGACCTGTCTGTCTCACTTCAATTACTGGTAAAATTATATAGAAGATTATCCTGGGAGGTACTGAGAAACACCTGAAGTCATTAGTCACAACCAGCATGGCTTCATGAAGGGAAAGTCCTGCTTGTCAAACTTAATTTCCTTTTACGACAAGGTAACCCACCTGGTTGATAAGGGAAGCCAGTTGATCTAATCTTTTTGGATTTCAGTAAAGCTTTCAATACTGTCTCTCACAGGATTCTTCTGGACAAAATGTCCAGCACACAGCTGGATAAACACATCATGTGGTGAGTGAGCAATTGGCTCATGGGTCAAGCACAGAGAGTAATAGTGAATGGGTAACATCAGACTGGTGAGCTGTCCCTAGTGGTTCCACAGGGCCTGTGCTCTTCAACATCTTCATAAATGACTTGGATGCAGGACTGGAAGGGATACTGAGTAAGTTTGGTGATGATACTAAATTGGGAGGAGCTGTTGACTCCCTCAAAGGCAGGGAGGCCCTGCAGAGAGACCTCGACGAATTAGAGGACTGGGCAATCATTAGCTATATAAAGCTGAACAAAGACAAATGCCAGGTTCTGCACCTGGGATGGGGCAACCCCAGATGTTCGTACAGACTGGGAAATGAGATGCTGGAAAGCAGTGCCGCAGAAAGGGTCCTGGGGGTCCTGGTCGATGGCAAGTTGAAGATGAGTCAGCAGTGCCCTGGCAGCCAGGAGGGCCAACTGTGTCCTGGGGGGCATCAGGCACAGCATTGCCAGCTGGTCAAGGGAGGGGATTGTCCTGCTCTGCTCTGCACTGGGGCAGCCTCACCTGGAGTGCTGTGTGCAGTTTTGGGTGCCACAGCATAAGAAAGATATTAAGCTATTAGAGAGTGTCCCAAGGAGGAAAAGCCATATGAGGAGCAGCTGAAGTCACTGCTGAGGAAGAGAGTGAGGGAAGACATTACAATCTACCGCTTCCTCACGGGGGGAAGAGAGTGGGCGGCACTGATCTTTCTGGTGGCCAGTGACAGGACCTGAGGGAATGGCATGAAACTGTGTCAGGAGAGGTTTAGGTTAGATGTTAGGAAAAGGTTCTTTACCCAGAGGGTGGTTGGGCGCTGGAACAGGCTCCTCAGAGAAGTGGTCAGAGTACCAAGCCTGACAGAGATCAAGAAGCATTTGGACAATGCTCTCAGGCATGTGGTGTGGCTCTTGGGGGTGTCCTGTGCAGGGCCAGGAGTTGGACTTCGATGATCCCTGTGGGTCCCTTCCAACTCAGGATATTCTATGATTCTGTAAGATAAGAGGACTGAATAAAATATTCATTCATGGTTGAGGCGTAAGAAAGAATCCAGCCATATGAGAAATATATTAACAGCAGATTAATGAAAGTCTACATAACTTGAAAAACAGTGCCAAGTGCATTGATTTTGTTGTAAAGCAACAAAGGTACTTTGGCCATTTACAGTACAGGTTGTCCAACAGTTCTTCTGGTTTCTACATGATTCCACACCTTTTCCCATACTAATGAAATGTTCTTCAAAACTGTATCTAACCTCTACATCTGGTGAGTGGTTGACACTCACCCTTACCAAGGGTGCCTACAGAATATCTCTAGCTTAGCATAAGTGCTTAGATGATAGGCTCCGACTGATCCAGTCTTGTTTCTGCCTTAGTTGGGACTGCACATGAGTAACTTTGGGTCCAAAGCAGAGTTTCTGAAGTTCTGAGTCCAAACAGGCAAATGCTACAGTAGAATCCTGGTGTGCCCTTAGCCATAGTGATTACTGCTAGACTGCTTCTCTGCAATTTATTATTAAGCATTTCTTTTCAGCATTCATATGAAAAAAAAGTCACTTTGAATTATGCTTTTGAAAAATTAATGTGGGCAATTAATGATTACAGTAGGGCTCTCTGGGGCCTGTGTCCTGCTGAGTTAATGCTCCCTCCTGAGTCACTGAAGGAGATGGTTGTCCTTTGTACTTCTTCACAATTCACTAGAGACATAGTATTCTTCCTCCCCCTGCAGTACCCTGTTGCTCTGGATTTATATTCCTTCCGTTGTGGCTATCATAATTAATTTTTCATTCTTCTACTTAAGATGAGTAATCCAATAAATCACTTGCACATCAAACTTTAAATTCCCCTCTGAAAATGACAGGCATATATTTTTAACGGGCTATTCTTTGCAAGTTTAGTGGGTCAAATTGTGGATGTTAGCTGGATATCCATCTGCTGCATCCAGTTACTTTCAGTGGGATTAGCAGAATTTAGCCCACTAAGGAGGAATGACGTGAAATCTATCATGAAAGAAGAATAAAAAAGAAAAGCTAGGAAAATGGGCCAGTGAAAGTGTCAGTATTACTTTCCTGCTATTTTACAAAATGCTTATTTCCTGTGTCCCATTTTTAGTAAGCCAGAATTCACATGATATCACAGAGTTATTTTTAATAAGTTAAATATAAACATTTCATTTTTCCTTTTTCTTCTTGCACTTTAATTGTGTTTGGGTGAAGGACACAAGATAGCATGTGTGTTTAAATAGTCTTAACCATAAAAATTATAGTGTGTGATGTCTGAAGAGAGGGGTTATCACTTTTTTATTTAAACTAAAATTGAACAGCTTTGTATCTCATTCTTACAGTTACTGATAGCCTAGAATGAATAATTTTGATATTATGTCTTACATACAGTAGCTCCAACAGTTATCAGCTTCTCACTAAGATGAATGTAGCTAGAGACAGTTGCAGTGTTTGCAGCATACAAACTCAGTATTGTACATGCACATAGATCTGTTAACTTGAAATAATTATAAATTAGTGGTGAATGTTTTTTTTAGTATTTTGCTGATGCTTAGGAGTCTAAATTGATTTCCTCAAGCTTGGCAGAAAACTGGTGAAATACCAGTGCTGATGTATTTGTTTTAGAGCTTTTTCTTGAATCTCAGGGAGGCAGCATAGAGCTATGTTGGCAGGCTTTTCGTATTTAATTTCTTAGACTGAAGTAAAGTTACAAGGGTGATAGTAACAATACAATGTTGAGAGAAAAATAAGAAATTTAAAAATAATTCTGTATTCTTCTCCTTAGGCATCTCAAAACACTCTAAATTCCATGTGGTATATGGAGGTTGGTTGCATAGAAATTCCTCTTTCAGTGTTTAGAGCACTGTGTCTGAGCGCTGATGGAAAGACTAGAATCCAGCATTAAACTTATTCATAGTTACTGCATAAATTTTTGTGCTTATGGAATGAATAATTAACAATTTTGCTTTGGCTTCATGGCTCAAACATGCTTACTGAATATATGCTTTTGTTATTTTTGCTTTCCTTTTGTTACCTTTTTTGCAGCATGCAGTGTTTGTGCTGTGGCTGGCCCTGTATTATGAGTAACTTGCCTTTCTCTTCTAACTGCCAATAGCTAATGCAAATACTTTGTAGTAGGCTAATAGCAAACTTTAAACAGACATGCAACTTATGAAACTTTGATGTACAGGTGAGAGAACTTCGAGAAAGAGCAAAGACTTACAGGCAACGAGTAGAGGGAACACACTTCTCCCGATATCATTTCAATCAGATCCTGTCTGATAATAACAGTCTTTGGGATGTGTCCTCAACTTCCAGTTCAGAAGAAGGGATCAGCAACAACATCAGAGCACTAGATCTTGCTGGGTAAGGTCATCATTGATGCCTGTTATTCTGCAGCTTTGAAACAGAGCAAAATGCTGAATATAGGCTCATCAGATATGTGTGATCTTGGATGTTTGACTGCATTCAAGATGCAATTGGACAGCGTGTCCAGTAATCATCTAGGCTCTCTTTCCCCATGGAGGGTTGAACTAGTTGGTCTTTTGAGGACCCTTCCAACCTGGGCTGTTCTGTAATTCTGTGATATGCAAAGTCTCTGGAAGAGATGAGGGCATTTATCAGTTGCTGTGTGCTCAAATGGAAAATGAGGCACAGTCCAGTCTTCTGGAAGAAGAGAAAGTTATATAATTCTTCACAAATGCATATTTAGTGCGGCAACCTTAGTCTCATCAAATCTGGAAGACTTTTGCACTGAGTCATACTGAGCTAATACTCTTTCCACTGGAATGATATGAAATTTGTTTTGTCTACTTAGATGTTATTGATATTCTCATCAGGATTGGTTAATTTTGTGGTTGAGTCTTAGACACTGTTTAGTTTGGAGCTGAAAACCTAGGAACTGGAATGGTGTACATCCATTTTCTCCTTTCTTTGAAGGCTATCAGAATTGACACATATTAAATCCCTTGCTATGAAAATTCAGAATTAGTATGTTAGTAAAATGTACAGACAGCTATAACTGAAACAGGGAGGGGAAAAAAAAGTAATTTGTGTCTTCTCTGAGATTTGATATTTAAGAACAAAACCTTGGATGCCTCTGTAGTCCACTGTAGACTGCTGTACACACACGACTTGTGTGTCAGAGATCTACCCATTTGCATGACTGTAGCTCTAATAAGGGTTGTGGGATGACATGTAAAATAATATTTATTACAATGTAATTTGTTAAATGTGGTGTAAATGTTTTGGTCTACTGGTTTGTTTTCTTTTCCTGTGAAATACAGATCCTCTTCCTGATCTCATTTCTCTGCACTGGGCTAATTTGCACTGATTTCTGTCAGCAGTTGAGAGTTTAATATTTTGAAAAGTTGGGCCTGAAGGGGAGTCTTCTAAACTTCTTGGCTTTTAAAATTATGCCATCAGAGAGTCCCTTTGTGTGGAAATAATTATTTTTTAAGCACTTATGATAATCTAACTTGTTTAAATTGAAAATAGAGCACTAATTTACATTGCATTTTTGGAACTGGTAATCCAGAAAGAGTCTTCATAGACTCTAGTTTGAAAACAAGTTGTTCTTAAACATCAGTTGAAACTTCAGTGGCAATTTAACCATTCATTATGTCAACTGTACTACTTTTTAATATCTGAACTGTACTTTTTGCAAAGGACTGAACTGGATGAATGTGTTCTACATAGAACACATATTGTGCAAATCAGTGATATGAGATGCTGTGTTCTTTGTTACCTAGAGTTTCTGAAAAAGAGGCTGTACCAAGCCCTCAAGGGCTACAGCAGCCTGACTCCAGAGAACAACCACACCAGAATAGCACTGGAAAGAAAGACATGTCAGATGCTTTAACTGTTCCAGTCAAAAGACGTTTAGTTTGGGATGAACAAGAAGATACTGAAGAAAGAGAAAAATGTCAATCAACAGAAGAGGAAGAAAACCAAGATGAACAGGGTGCAGTTGTGGCTCAGCAGTTAGAAGAAAACAATAAGGATGCCAAAGGAGATATGAAAATTGAAGGGTAAAATGGAACATTTTAGTGATGTATATATATGTGTATATATATATTTTTTTCCTTTAACAGCTCAGAAATTTGTAGGTTAACTAATTTATGTTTTAAAACTGGATTTAATTAAGAGAAGAAGTTGGTGTAAGTTGGTGTGACACTACTTTTGTTTTTAACAGTATCATAAGTAATGAGAAAGTTTAAGACATTGAGCTGGTTGATGGAAATGGATCCATCATTAGGAATACTGGATTTCTAACTTACAGGACAGGTGTTTGTAGATGCATGAGCAATTCTAATGTTTTTCTCCAAAACTATAAAATTTGCAGTATGAGCCTCTTGGAACTGAGTATTCATTACACAGCAGCCAAGTTCAAGTTTAGTGAAAGTTAAAACTCACAATTTGCTTCAAGTTGACAACGTAGGATTGATAGGAGTGAAAGGATAGGATACATGCTAATCTTCACAGAATAAGCAGAGCTGGAAGGGACCCACAAGGATCATCAAGTCCAACACCTGGCCCTGCACAGGACCATCCCCAAGAGTCACACCATGTGCCTGAGAGTATCATCCAATCTTGTACTTAAGCATCTATTTAAAAAAAAAAATCATGAACAAAGATGAAGGACTTGGGAGAAAAAAAATAATTAGCATCCATTAATCACTGATCATTATGTTACTGAGCACAGGTTGGAAAAAGGTGGAGGGGTGTTGGAGGGGTATTTATAAATGATGAGAGATCAATTCAGCATGTGTGTAGTACTGTCTTTGACAGTTCAAAGATCCAAATTGTATTTAGTTACAGAAGTCTCTGGCTTTTTGCTGTGCAGGTTTTGCATACCTTTTTTTTTTATACCATATTTTAGTTTAATAGATATTTAAATCTCAATAACTTTGACTCTTGTTATCATGCAATCTAAGCATTTTATATTCCTCATTTGGTTTTATTTTTGGTGTTGCAGCACTAATCAAAGGTAAGGAGCTGTGATAATCTCCTTTGGGAATAATACCCTGTATGCAAAACCAGACAAAGAAAAATTGAGATGCTAGACCCAAGTAGAAATTAAGTGCAGACTTTCAAACCTATCATCTGGAAAACCCCTCTAAGTTTCTCTGCCTCACTTATGCCTCTGATTGACATTGAAGGTTTTCTCTCATCCTGAAATATGGTCCTATGTGTGCTGAGATGTGTGCTAGACTTGGCCATGCAGAGCAGCTTAACACTTGCATGTTATCTAAGCCTTCTTGAGAGCTAGAAATGAGGAATTCTTTGCCTAAATGCATCTAGCATGCACTGAGAGGATCAGGTTCCTTGCCCAGTGTGGGTGTGCTGCCCACCTCCTTTTGAAATGCACCTGGAGGAAGACTGAAGTGGTAGTGCTGATTTATTTAATAACCTGGGGGCTATGGCGGTTACATACATGTGGGATATTTGATTTCGGTTCGACCGCATTGACTGAAGAGTGTCAAACCCACACTTCCATCTCAAAGGTGGCAACCAGATTCAGGGTTTTTCTGGGTGAATACTTTTTCCAGCCCTCCTGCTGAGACTCTGTATTGTGTAGCAATACATTCAGGGTTTACTGGGACAGAGGGAGCCTGCATTTGCAGCTTGAGACCATTTATGTATTTTATCCATTTACACAAAAAAATTAAAATACACAAACTGAGGCTCAAGGGCTGGAATCCAGGACTCCCCTTTTCAAGCAGATGCTTTAGCTGTAGGCTGTTGGGGTTTTATGGCCTTAACTGTCTTGCCTTAGGCTTCCTTGTAGGAGTTGATTAGAAACAAAAAGCTTGATTGCAAGACTCCTGAGTCCTTAGCTAGTCCTTTAATAATTTCTCTTTTTTTTTTTCAGTGAAAATTTAGAATTGAATACTTCTGCAACTGTGTCAGATTCTTCTGTATCCTCAAGGACTGGTGGCAGGCTTCCTACTCCAAAGCTGAGAGCTCTTGGTGGAACTCAGAGGACTCATCATGATCGCACTACCCCAACTGTTGGTAAAAAGACTTTTAAATGCAAAGCAGTATTTCAAGAACTGAAGAATAAAAAACATATATGAATCAGTTTATTAGGTTATTTAATGTAATAAAGTATTTTTCGTCTTCTCCAATAGGAGGTACAGTTTTAGTGTCTCCTCCTAAATTCAAGTCTTCATCTTCACCACAGAGAAAACGAGACTTAGGAACAGACCCTTCGAAAAGAAGGTCCTTCCGGGTGAGCCAGAAAAGACACTTAACCATTATGAATTTTAGGAATGTGCTGTTTAAGTAATAGTGAATAATTTGTTTAATACATCTTTCTCTTGAGTTGTCATTTGCTATCCTAAAATTCTCAGTGTCTGTGACTGAAAAAGGCCCATGTCTGAATAAATAATTTTTTGGGGGTATCAAGCAAAGGGGTTGAGACTACTGGAGCTGTTGATTTCCCCGTTAATGTTATTGTAGCCACTGACATAGGGCACGGCTCCAGATTGCTTGACTTGAAAGAAATTCAAGAGAGAGAGGTTGGGTGCTTATATACAAGATAGGTTAATGTGCCAGAGTAGTTTCACTCTTCCTTTCCTTTGCTTTCATGCTGCTTTTACTTAGCAGCTTGCATAGTTACTAAAAGAAAAATAGAAACATTTAGTTGTCATTCTCAAAATTGGGATACTTTTTTGTCAAGTTGTGCTTGGTCTGGGTTCTACGGAGACAGCTACCATTCAACTGCATACATCCTCTGTAGTAAGTTCTGTAATAGAAGCAGACACAATCACATGAGAAGTTGGTTATGTTGTTTCAAAATCTAAAAACACAGTTTTTTGTTGTGAGGAAAAGAAGCTCTTGGTTTGACCTGATTAGATTACTTTCAGACCATGTTAAACACTTATTATTAGCAACAGATTCTCTTTAGGCTGTCTCACAAGTTTGGAATACTTATTGTTTCATTACTCTTATAAGAAGTGTAACTGTAAAGCCAACATTTGCTGCATATGTGAAGATCTGTACTGTAAGGCTGTGTATGAGATGCTGGGATTTTGTGGGTTTTTTGATCCTTTTTTTTCTTCTTTCTGTAGCCTGACGTGAAAATGAAAGCTGTTTCACTGTTTAACTCTCCACCTGCTGGGCTGAGAACTGTGGATCCTCTGCCACTTAGGCAGGATCCGTGGCCTCCTAACAGGGTTGCTGATGAGCAAGTTCCTCTTGCTTCAGCCCATCAGGAACATTCCTCTGCAACTTCCGTGCTCAAGTCAGCAAAAAGCTCCTCTGTGCCTTGGTGGAGTCCCTCTCATCGTATTCAAGGGACTCTCAAGGATCCAGAATTCCAGCATAATGGTGGGTTTTGTGCATTAACCATCTGTGTTAGAGTGCTGCAGGATGGAAATGACCACACTGCAGTATTCAGGCCAAGAGAATGCTGAACTTGCTGCGTTACACTTTCTGCAAAGAATGTGTTGTTTGTAAACGAAAGCTTTTCTACTGTATGGTTAGTCTTGCTGAGGAAATGTGCACAACACTCCACCTTAGTTTCAGATTCCACTAATATCATTGCATTCTAGTAGTCTGTCTAAGTTTGCCTTACGAGTTTCAATAAGTACTTACCATGAGAATAATTTGGTTTAGCATAAGCACCTCTAATTTTTAGTATCTAAGCTACAACTGGATGCTGTAACACTTCTCCAGCTGCAATTGCCAACATCAATGTGTAACTGAGACCTTTATGGTGCAGTATTACTTTGCAGGAGTTTTCGATTTCTGAGAGATAAGCTCCTTAAATATTTCTGCAGGATATGGAAATAAAAAAGTCACCTATAGAAGATTTATTGGATATTGAGAAAAGCCTTTTCTTGGCTGAGGAGGAATTTGTGCTGGAGCATTTCAATGATCGTTAACAATGTTTAAGAGTACTGAGGATGTAAACTGGATTAAGAAAAGAATCCTCCCCCCTTAGTCTTCATTCCAGAAAGACTTTGTATAGCTGCTTAAGGTCCCACAATTCTTGCTCTCTTGATTGTAGAGATTAGCTCAAAAGTAGTATTTCCATTCTAGAATGGAACAAGTAGTTGTCCAGTTAAGTGGGAACATGAAATCCAGAGAATTTCCTCAGAAAGAGGTTTGAATCAGTGCTGGATTCTAGCTCTGCACATTGAGTGCAGTTCCTTAAGTAACTTGTAGCATGTACTAAAGAGGTGTCTTGAGAAGAATACAATGGAGTAAATTTATTTTACCTCAGCTTAGAGTCTGGTGGATTTTTGGGTATTTTTTGCTATTAATAAGACTCTTGTTTCGGAAATAACGTTGCAACATTTTTAAATATTCTAAAATGAATTACTATCCTGTGTCTATTTTGAAATTATTCAAAATTGTGCCTTTGACTTTTTGTCTTAGGGAATCTTGGCAATCCAAAAATGAGAACTTTCCAGTTGCCCCTTCGGGAAAGAAACTGTAATGATGAAGGTATTTCTTGTCCCAAAGTATTATTGTATATCATGTGTATATAATCTAGATTAATTTTAACTTTTGCATGAGTGTGAGAGATTTTTTGAAGCAGTAAGTAATACTGGTTTATGCGTTTGCTTGAATAACTGCTGCATTTTTTCATCAAAATAATTTAAAAATGTTCATCCTAGTAATCTGAAGTTTGAACATGATGATATAGTGTAGCATGAATAAACCATTAAATGTGACTGAGCATTAAATAGACCATTGTGGCTCAATATGTGGCTTACTGTAGGTTGCTTAGTTCCATACCTAAAATTGTTTCCTCCCCACACATTTTAAGCCTCTGTGTTGATAGCAACAGAAGCAAACTGCAAAATGGTCACAGCCCAGATTGCAGCTGCAGTAACTTTGGATGCAACTTAAAACGTACCACAAACCTTCAGATAAAGGTTTTGCTTGTGAGACTTTAGCACCAGATGTGCAGCATAAAATGATCCCCCTGACTTTAATTTTCACACCTGTTCTCTGCTCAGTGTATTAGGGATACTTAAGGCATCCTGCTATTCTGATTGCTGTTTTGACCTTTTTTCTATTTTGTGTAAAGTTAGTCTGGGAGGGCAGCCAATGCACAGCCCACCAGTGCATCTGCTTGGCCCTTTTGTAGGCAGACACAAATAAACTCTTTCAGTAGCATGAGTCAGCCAAGGGCACTGTAGCCTCATTAGCTTGAGCTGCCATATACTTTTTCTTAGTGTAATGTCTGAGGTTGAGCTTGGTGCTATGCTATTGGCAGTCATGTTTGTTTGGTTCAGATGAGATTATGGACAGACCAAGCTTATATCTGATTACAGTTTATTTATAGTTATACCCCAGAACGACCAAAAGCTTTTTTCTGTACCCCTTGTGCTTCCTTTGCTCCTTGGTTTTAACCAAGTTTCAGGCTGATTCTCTATCTTACTCATTGCAGTTGCCTGAAAAATATGTGGGTTGTGCAGATGGCTCAGACAAGAATCTGTGTAAATACATAAAACATGCAAAATCCTGTAGTACTCTGCAGCTTCCCACAAGCTTTGCCACACACAGATTAAATGTTGTAACTGCTGTGTTATTTTTTTCCCCTATGAGCTGAGTGATGATGTATGAGCTTTCAGAAACAGATTAAATGTGCCAGCTCACAGATATTTTGTACGTTCATATTTGTTCATGTACATACAAACCTGGGAGTTATTCCAGTGACATGTCTGTTTGCAGAAGTGCAGTTAGCAGTTTTCTCATACATGAGAATATAGTTGTTATACATAGTGTCTGAGCCTATTATGGGCTGTTTGGATCACTGTATTTTAAGAATTTAGAAATGCTGCTAAAAAGTTAATTCAAACACTGACAAAGTAGAGGTGCTGTTTGGATTTAGTTGAGGAATTTTTTCTTGGGTTATTTTGTTGGTGAGGGGGCTTGAAAGTAGTGATACAGTTCTTTTTAATCCATTTGAGGAAAATGAGTATAATTAAGGATATTTTTCATAGATAGGATCTTGACAGAGCTGTTGCAACATTTTAATAATGCTGTTAAAGAATTATAGTGTGCTTTATCAGACAAGCAATTGATTAATTTTAAGAGTTCTACTGTGTGTGAAGTGGACCTTGTATTCAAATGGAAAACCCTTCCAAAGTATATTTCTAAAGCCTACTTCTTGTTGTCTTTGTGATACATTTTTTTCAGAATACACGTTTCTTTCAACAGCTTGTGACACGAGTTGCATTTGGCACAGAAGGACTCTTGACAACATGGGTTCTGATATTTTAGTCATGTTATTCTAAAGTTAGGTCTAAGAATATATTATTGTCTGAATCTAGTCTATACAGATTTCAGTGGCAGAGGAACAATTCCTGAGCTCTTCTGACACAGGAGAGTAAATGTAAAAATTATTTGGAGGATTGGGTGACACTAGGGATCTCATTCTGAAGTTTGTCAAGAGTTGGGCTTGTAACTCTCTTAAACTTATCTAACATCCTAGAAGCTTTCTAGTGAGGTTCTTCTCCAGCGCAGCAAATGCCAACTAATTGCATTAAAGTGTATTGTGGTACTATTTTAACATTCATTGTGAAAGAGGGCATAAAAATATTTACACTCTCAAAGTCTGCCAAGAACGTCAGCTGTGTTTTGATATGTATATTTAATCTTCCTATTTTTCCCTTATTGCTTTCCCCACAGATGACAGGTTGTCTCAGATCTCTGCTCGCTCGGCAGCATCTAGCTCTCTTGCATCTCAGATACTGGAACGAGCTCAGAAGAGGAAGGATTTCTGGGGCAAGACATAGTCTCTTCCCACCTGTCGTGTAGAAACTGTTCTGTAAAATGATTTATCTTTTATAGTTTGTAGTGTACATTTAAAAAAAAATGTGATTGGAGATCACATGTTAATGCTGCATTCTTTCACTTAACCACTGATATGGCCCAAGTTTTAGGGCTTGCCATCCCAATTGAAAATTAAGTATTTAAACTGATGTTGAAAATGAACATCCTTTATATCTGAGAGTTCGGTCTTAATTCACTATGTCTCTACAGCCATATGAGGCTTTTCTTTTTTTTTTACTGTGACACCTCTTGAAACTGAGATAATTATTTTTTTATGGAACCTGTGTGTTACTTTTCAAGGTATTCTGCTGCAGTCAGGCAGGTATGACCTGGAACAGTATTCAGGGGCAACACCGTCATTTATCAAATACCTCAGTTGCATTATTTTAACTAGTTGTCTTAAAGGCAACAATGGTATATTTGTTTATGTCACTGTATGAATTGTCAGCACAACACAGTACTGTGACAAAAAGTTACTTTTGCTACTTAACTGTCTTTAACCTGTTACAAAAAGATTCCTATTTCCTAATGATGCAAACATGGAACGTACAGGAGTTTGAGAAAAGGACATGAAGCATTAGAATTTGTTTGTTGTCCACAGATTTTTGGCCAGGAAGACTATTAGAGTTCAGTGTGTACAGTACTGCAGTTTGTCAGATATACTGATTTAAATGCTTGTCTTGTGGACTGAGACCACAAGATGTTTACTGTTAATTTCAGCTTCTCTAGAAAAAGCAAACTCAGCCACCTTAACCAGTGGTGTTCCCCAGCCCCTCTTCAGACTCAGGTATTTAGGAGGAGTTGATTTCTTAAAGTAATCTCAAAAGAATGTTTTTTTTCTTGACTTTGACATTTTAATTACCTCTCATCCTAGTTGCCTGTTGCAGAGAGATTGATACTGTTATGACTGTCACAGTGAAAAGTGTTTGTGATTTATGCTGACAGCTCATTTTATTTTTCCAAGTGATGCAGACAAGTTAATATGAAGTAGAAGAAATGGGTGGTTAACAAGCAGTTTGGTTCTTGTGCGGCTTCAAGTTTTAGTATTACTTCATTTGGAAATTTTATACAAGAACAATTTGAATTTTGTACACATTTGATTACATTTCGATTTTGTATGCAATTATGTATGCATATTGCTGAAAATAAAAAAGATGGTTTGATTTCTTTTTATGGAAATTATGCTGGATAATTTGTCAGGGCTTATTACATTGGCACTTCTCTGTTTAGTTCTCTGTTTCACCTGTTCAGCTGGAATATCTGTGGACTTACGAAAGCCAAGATGTTACCTCAGAAATCTTCAGAAAGAGTAATTTATGAAAGCTAGATATGTTGATACCTGAAATCATGACTGACTGCAGATCCTTTAAATGGTGACCTGGAGCAGATTGGTGCTACACAGGCTGGATAGGCTGCAGTGCCCAAAGGGTCAGTCCCCAACAAATTATTTAAAGTGTTAATTTAAAGAGTGAATGAATGAGTGCTATCTAGCATTGATCATGTTAGAAAACAGCGTCCACTTCTTCCAGAAATGGTACATTACAGTAGCTTCCTACCAGTGGAGTTGTTTGAAACAAATAAGGTATTTTATTTTATCTCAAGAACTTCTAGGATTATTCTGTGGCGTGCACTTTATGACCAATTATAACTTACACATTAAGTTTCTGTTGAAAGGGAAACTCTACGCTTCAGTCTTTATGAAAAAATTGCCAGTTTTCCTCTATAAATACAGTTTTATAGGGGAAAACTTAATGGCTATAAGTGGAAATACTTTTGTTTAAGAGGGAATGTTGCTGTGATGTTGTGGGTGGTTTAATTTTGGTGTCTTCTATCTACATTATTCATACTCAACATGTTCTCATTGTTTTCCAGGCCAAGAGCTTTCATCATCCACTACTTCTCTGTGATACCTGTAACCTGAATTTTATGAACTGTGCCCTCTTTTTTAGTGTTTTATTTTTGTTTTTCTATGTTTGCCTGGGTTTCCTGGCTATCTGACAGCTCTGTCAGGGTGTTTGTACAGGTCTGATTTTGAGGTCTTTAAGTTATAGATATCATAACACCATATGTTCCAGTTTTGCTTACAGTATTGCATGAAGAGTCTGGTACATCTAGGTAGCTCTGAGTTTGTTAGATGTGTGCAGTATGCTACTTATTTGATTTCTGCCAAGGAGAAAGTACACATGGTAAAGGAGGGAGACAGTTTTGTTGCATGGGGTTACACACCCAATTTAGATATGAGAATGGAAATTCATGGTGTCTCACACACATCATTGAACAATATTTCCCATCTAGAAAACTTTTACCTTTTGCCTGAAATGTTCTAATTGAATTTACTTTTGGAAGAAGTATTTAAAGGTAAGTGTAGACAAAATACCTGTTACTGAGTTACGCTAGTGCAAAGCTGCTGAAGTGTGCTTTTCTGTAGTGTTCAAGGCAGATGTAAAATTCTTAATGCCTGTTTTCTGCTATTGTTTATCTTATTCAAGAGAGATTTTGTTTTGTTGTTTTTCTAAATACTTCAGATCAACCTGCAAACATACTTCCTGTTGTGTTTTCCAGCAAGCTGAAAATAGAAAAAAAGGTTCAAAAGTGTGCCCTTTATTAGTAATTACAAGTGTGTGCTGCACAGTGAATGCGTATTGTTTTCTGTCAAGAAAACTTTAGAAGCCTTAAAGTGGAGAGACCAAGTAAGATAAACTGGGATGAAGGCAGTGGCCAATAGGAGATGTATCTAAGGAATAAACAGCTTTGGGAGCTTGTCAACTTAAGGTCCAGATTTACAAATCCAGCACATTAATAACTGATCCAGTCATAGTATAACCCAGTAAGTGTTGAATTGTCTTCAGCTGCTGTTCCCAAGTTGTAGATACCTGCGGGTGAATCTCGCTGAGGGGGGTTCACAGCTCTTCACCACCCGTACAAGTAAATAAGCCATCTCATCCTCACTGACTGCTGCCAACTGGGAAAAGGCCTTTCCTGCCAGTAAAGTGTTCCCTCAGCAAGCCCACAAAGAGCAGGCTGGATTCCAGTCTACACTTCTCAAGAATTTACTGTCTTGCCAAACAATAAGCCTGTTGCCTGTCTGTGAGAATGAGAAGTGATCTCTCAGTTTCTTCTACTGAATCAGGAGAGCAGTGGTTGGTGGCCTAGGGGTTGGAACTAAGACCTCCCTGTTCCCAAAGCTCTGCTCACTCTGGCATTTGCCTTCTCCTCCCTCTGGCCAAATCACTTAGGTTGGAATGACTTCAGCAGGAGGGGTGAAGCACCTTTGTCAGTACTTTCGCAATTCCTCCGGGGAGGTTTTGATGCTGCTGGGCATGAGGAGAGTTTTGAGAATTTAGCTGGTTGCTTACAGTAGCAGCAAGGTAGTATTTAGGCACTTGCATCCTTTTATGGCTCTGGGCTTTAATTTCTTTTACAGAGTCTCCATTTTCAGTGCCTTTCATGAAGCGTCAGCCTTCTCTACTTAAAATCGTGAAAATACTTCCAAACCCCTGGATTGAACAGTTTAAGAAGAGTTGACTGGGGCTTTTCGTCTCTGCAGGAAAGTTTGGGAGAATGTTGGACTGTGGATAATCCCATCCAATTTTGCAATAATATTTTTTTGTTACTTTCCAATTTTAATGCCTTACTGAGGTGAGTTCTGAAACATAATGTGAAGTATATAAATGTTGTTAATCTGATAAATGTAAAAAGTCAAGTTTCTTTAGTCATCAGCGGTAGATTGCTTTTAAGGAAGGTGCAGGCTACAAGACTGTTTTTGGGACATACAGTCTGGATTAAGTCATAAGGGCAGTAAGTTTTCCAGTGATACTTAAGTCACTACGGGTATGTTGTATAGGGATTTTTCAGCATTTTTTGATGAATAGATCCACATGTCTTCCGTATGGCTGATGGATCTCTATGTAGTGAGTAACAACATCCCGAAAACACGTTTGACTTCACCGATGTCTTACAGGTAACCTGAGTTCCCTCTGCACCCAAGGGCCACAGCCCAAAACCCAGTGTGTTGCAGTAAGGTGAAGGGAAGCTACCAGCCACCAGCTTTCTCCTTCGCTCACAAATTCTTGGAGTCCAGGTACTGATATATTCTCCCTGTCTGACTCTTGGTGTCAGTGCTTTCTGGCAGATAGCAGTGGAGGAAAAAGGGATTTCCAAATCGGTAATACTTGACGGGCAAATCTGTAGTACTGGAAGATGGGGCAGGAAGCACAGCTTCTTGAACAATTCAGTATGTGCTTATTTGCTTGATGTCATATTGCTTCATTCCATCTTCCTGTTCTGCAAGGCTGAGCTGGCACCTAACATTCTGGTATCAGAGCAGTTCTTAGCATCTGGTAAAATTTGTCAGCAAAGAGCCCCATCACTATCTTATGCAAGTGGAAGTTTTGCTATGACCTTGTTGACCAATTTTTACTGTAGCCTGAAGTAAAATTGTTTCGTTATCTGGATGCACACAAATATATGATAAAGAAAACAAACTGAACAGTAATTCTAATGGAAAGTGACCAAAAATTAATGTCCTAATTCTAGCAGTTATTCAAACCTTTTTAGACAGAAGCCTCGGGAAGAGAGGGTAGGATGGTGGAGCTGTGGTTAACTCTTTGGGATGCAGTCATTTCTTGGGTTATATCTGAAACCCAGTGGGAAAGTGTTAATCACATAGCAGTGATCACACCAAAAGCAAAACTTGTAGAGGGGCCAATGGATGGTAGCTAACAAGAAAACTCCAATTTCATAGAAATCCAAGTTTTGGATTGCTTTTTGATCCGAGTTTTCTATTGTGTTGAAGGACATCTGGAGTTCTATGTTAAAAATGTAAATGAGCTTCCTAAATATATTAGTATATATACAGTTCATCTGTGTCAGATATGAGCTGACCTTGTGAGGTTTCTGTTTCAGTCTGTTCTAGAGAAGCTCGTGGAGTGACTGAACAAGCCTGAGCTTTGCATGCTGAATGTGCTGCACCTGGGAAACTGAAGGATGGTTCTTGGTGGTCTTGCAGTGTCATGTTAGGGTGGAGGACTGAGAACTACATAAGATTCACCTGGAGACTGATGGTCCTTTGAGAAGGCAAGCAAGGCCTGATAGTGCTTACAGCTTTCACCCCTCTGTTGGATCACTTATTCCATTCATGGAGCTGGATTAAGAGTGTAAGAGCAAAAGCACTAATTTACAAAGAGATTGCTAGTTGCAGGGAGAGTCTGTTGGTACAGTCAGGGCAGCAGATCCTCCTTAGCGCAGACAGTTCTTTGGTGGAGGGGGAAAAGGACAACTCAAGCTTTTTGCTCTCCATTTTCATCAGAGGTCTTGATCAAGTCTTCTGGTAAAACGTGTCAGCTTCCTATATGCATCTTATTTACATTTATGCCAGTTTACCTTTCCTAAGGTAACTAAGGCAGTGTAAAGGTTTCAAGTGGGCCTCAAAACTTTTTAACCATGTTTAAATCTGATATGCACACATACTGTATGTGTTTCTGTGCATGTGCATGTATATATATATATGTGTGTGCTGGTTTTGACTGGGATAGAGGGTTTCTTTTCATAGTAGCTAGTGTGGTGCTTTGTTTTGGATTTGTGCTGAAAATAATGTTGATAATACAGAGATGTTTTCTTATTGCTGAGCAGTGCTTATACAGAGTCAAGACCTTTTCTGCTTCTCGCCCCACTCCATCAGCATGTAGGCTGGGGGTGCACAAGTTGGGAGGGGACACAACCAAGACAGCTGACCCCAACTGACCCAAGGGATATCCCTTATCATGTGGTGCCATGCTTAGCATATAAAGCTGGGGGAAGAGGAAGGAAGTGTGGGGACATTCTGAGTGATGGCATTTATCTTCCCAAGTAGCCATTACACATGATGGAGGCCTGCTTTCCTGGGGATGACTGAACACTTGCCTGCCCATGGGAAATGATGAATGAATTCCTTGTTTTGCTTTGCTTGCGTGCAGCTTTTCCTTCACCTGTTAAACTGCCTTTATCTCAACCCACAAGTTTTCTCACTTTTACTCTTCTAATTCTCTCCCATCCCTCCAGAGAGCAGTAAGTGAGTGACTGCGTGGGGCTTAGTTGCTGTCTGGCGTTAAATCACAACAGTGTGGGTGTGCATATATATATATATATATAGGTGTATATATATAGGTATGTATGTATATATATATATATGTATATAAAGGTATATATATTTCTTTAAATTCATGGTGTCTTTGTTTAATACTATTGTGTGCTGGGATGTCTCCAAAGCACCTACTTTAAAATCTGAAGTAGAATAGGAATGGCTGGCAGGATCCAGAAAACCTGTACTTCTGGATTTCTCTCTTCCTAGGTCCCTTTCTGGTCACTGGGTTCTTGTAGCACATATATGCAGCCGTCTGCAGATGTACCCTGTTCTGGAGAGCTGGATGTCCAGATCTCACTACAAGTTTGCTCCTGTGGACTGGGGAAACCTGCTGAGATTCAGTGCACTCCCCAGCTAGAGTGGGACTGTGAGTTTCCAGGACAGTGCTCTTGTGAGGAGCACACATCTGTGTTTCCAGTGAGAAGCTGGCTTCAGCCTGTTTATGTATTTTAGCTGACATGACATGTGACTAAAAACAGATAACCCCAGAAAATAGCATTATAATTCCTATGCTGTAGCTATTTTGTTTAGTCTCATTTTGGCCCCATGAATCTCACAATCTTGACAATAGTTCTGCTCCTAGAGGAAACTCGCTGGCTCAGAGGACTCTCTTGGGAGATGGGAAATAGCATAACCTGTCTGGGGAGGGGCTGGGGCATGGACTGTTGGCTTCCTAGAGATGGACACTATTTAGAAGACTACTGTTAACAACATGGGAACCAGGAACCGTCACCTTCTCTAATGGCTCTGTAATACAGAATAACTGAGCAGCCACGGGCTCACCCTCAGGCGATGATGCTGAGCTCAGAGCCTCAGTGAAAGTGCTGGTGTATGGGCAATGTCAGGCACAAATATTTCACCTTAAATTACATTGCTTCCTTTCAAGATGGATTTATTTAATTACACAAGATGGTGTTGGTTTATTACATGATAACTGATGGTACTTGGTAAACCAAGGTGCAGAATGCTGGGGCTATTTCTTAATCTGAGTAACTGTGTGTCACTTAATTTGGATTATAAACCAGCTTGCAAAATTCTGCTCCCAATTAGAGTGGTTTTCTTTGAGATAACGCTATGTCAGTAATTCCACTTTGCCACTGAGTCGCGGCTGTGCAACCACACCACATTAACAGGAAGCACAGAAGTTTCAGTTCACCTGATCTGACTATTCGCAAGACATAGCTGGATAGATGTAGGTCACTATATAAAGTGACAGTTTTATAGTATGTACGTGACTTTACACACTGAATTCAAAGCACTAGCCATCTGGTGGAAGGGTTAATAGTGGTGCCTTTGGTGGCATGACATGGTGTGTGCACTGACATGGTCTGCATTCCCTTTTCTCTCATCTGTGTCAACTAAGTGATGGCTCCTATTGATAAATTCTTCTCTTTATGCTTTACTGATGTTGGCAGGAGTTGTCTGAAGAGGCAAGACCACCAGACTAACATCTATTGCACTTAAATTGACACTGTTCTTTGGGTTTTTGTTTTCATATTAATCACTGAATCATTCTGGCACTGTAATAGAAATCATGACATCAGTGGTTCTGGTAATAATGTTGTATCAACACATTAATAGTGTTGTCTCTGGATGACTTTCTCTTGGATCTCCAGTACATGAATGTTTCTGAGGTGAGAATAAAGTTATTTAAACCAAGGAGGTTTTGTTTGGTAGTTTTTTTTTGGGGGTGGGGGTGATGGTGTGTTTTGTTTTTTTGTCCCAGGATGTAACTTAAAATTGAAGCCACAATGAACTATTAGTTCCTTTCCTCTTGGATGTTTTATGGTACGAAATACCACTTTTATGATATTTTCTATATAGTATTTTATACTTAGAAGACCTAAAAATTATATAGTAAAACCAAGTGAAGGTCAAAGACAAAGATTTTTGATGAAATATCAAATATGTAAGCTGAACTGTTACTGTCAGAGGAAATGTATTACTCTGTGTTACAAAAATGTTACTATCAGGGCAGGTAGGAAGTTGTACATCCTCTCCAAAGTCCTGAGTCAGCAGTGCTTCTACTGAGAGCTGACACCAGAGTCTTTTCTGGTCACCTAATATTCCCAGGCTAAGCAATTTTAGTACTATTCCTCCTTCTTCCAAGAGATTCACAATTTCTTAATATTAAACCTAGTATGAAAAAAAAGAAAAAAAACAAGCAAAAATATAATGATGAAATGCTACATGTCCTCTCCCAGTTTCTGTGTTGATATAATTTTCTCTACAGAAATTGAATTCCTTCTATCATTCCTAGTGATCATACACAGAAGACACTTGTCTGTGTACTAGGACATTTCCATAATGAATAGCTGGATTACAGAAAAGCTTATTTTCAAGTTTTATAAGGAAGAATCAAGTTCCATTACTGATGTTTTCATTGCTGGGCAGAGAGCTGACTAAAATAAGACTTTACTGGAGCTTGAGCTGAAACATTTTTATAGTTGACTTTAATCTTTGCAAGCTTGAAAGTCTGGGTAAAAGCTGAGGAGAACTAAAATAAAATGCAGCCAACTAGCTCACAAATGAGGTGGAGCAAAATAAGTGTGACCTGAAACTTGAAATTGCATGTTCAGTTTTAGGTGTTAAGTGACCTGTGGTCCATTCACACAAATGTTTAAGAGGGGAGAATTGCATCACCAAATAGAAGATCCAACAGGATGATACAGAGGCTCACTCTTTCACATGCCTACTCTTGGCAGTGTTTCTAGCCCAGTGGCCAATTCTGACTTTTTGAATAATGCAGTATAATCCTGGCTGATTCAAAGTGTGCTAAAGCTCAAGGAAATTCCTGCGTGCCAGTGTGCTGCTGCTGATACTCAACAGCTGAACATCAAAGTACAGTGTTGGTTATTCACCTGTGGCCTCATTCAAAGTCAGAAGGAAATGTCTGTGGCTTTTGAGGCAGATGTGATGTAGAGTTCCAGTCATCCTCAAAAAATCCTGTTTTCAATGTGGGTCAAGAAGTCATTGTCGAGAATATTCTACCACTATAGTTTCTTAATGAATTTGGGAAACAAACTTTAAATGTTTATAGGTGAGTTTATTGACAGGACATTTACCTCTTGGAACAGTACCGGGGAAAAAAATGACCTGTGAACATTTTCAAAATTATTTTTTTATTAATTATACTTAAAAAAACAGCGCAAGAGGGTATTTTATAGAAGATGGGAGCTCTTTGGTAGTTTTTAATTAAAATGAAAGCATAACAGGTATGTTTCCTTGTAGGAATTTTGTACTTTAAACAGTGCTACTAGCCTTAAACATTAAAAATATCATTAAACCTAGAAAAAAAAATCATAAAATTAGAATGGGAAATTACGTCCCCCTTGCTCTTAAGATATATTTTGTCTGGTATATTCTTTCTCCCCAGAGTAAGACCCACCAGTGATGGTTTCAGCCAGAGTACCACATTTTAAATTAAAGGCAGATTTCCTTCCACTGGTCTCTCTCCTGCCAGCACTACAGTTCAGAGTAGCCTGTTCAGGAAGCAATTTCCCTGAAGTTCACATTCAGTACTGGCTTAGCACTTAGACCTTATTTTTCAGAAGTTGATTGTACTCCCTTCTCAAACAAGAAGAAAAAGAAATTATTCCTCAAATGTTAGCAGAAAATCTTTATATTCTTTCCTCTTTCTTAGGACTTCTGAGGACTGGAGTATGATCCAGTAGTAGTGCAGGTTTTTAGCTCCATCTTTACATAGGATGTAATGCTGGATTCATATCTCCCATGCAGGGTGTGGTGAGCTAGTCAAAAGAGGTGATAGCCATGACAAGTCACATTTTCGTTCTATGCAATCTCATAACAGAAGACCCTGGGAATGGGAGGCATATCCACACTTCCAAAGAAATTCTTTTGACATGTAGCAGGAGATAACAGCAGCCATGACTGCGGCTGTACCATAATTCTGTGGTACATCCAGGATCAACAGTCATTTGGTAGAAGATGGTTGAGAAGAGACCAGGAATGGACTGATAAGCATGCTAAAATTAGTGTCCAGTAAGGTTTTGACTGTTTGTTTTTGCATTGGACCATACTCACAGTAAACTAGAGTAAGCACAGTAAGCACTAACAGAAAGTTAAATAATGCAAAGGCTTTAGAAATGTCATAAAAAAAAATTTCATGCAGAACACGAATTAATGAACTTACAATATGTACTTCAGCATCTCAGTATGTGGAAAATAAAGGTGATAACAGAAGTAGCAAGGTAAACTAAACAACTGAAACAAAGCTTTTCTAAAGTGTCAGAAGGAAGACATCATGACACAATGAAAAAGTAACATGACAGAGAGATGTCTAACAATACAGATGGGAGAAAGCTTTATCAAGGCTAACAAGGTTTTCTATGAAAATAGGTGTGTCATAGTGTATGGTTTCAAATAATAGAGAAGACAGACAAAAGACATCCTGCATTGACTGCATAAAAAAGGGCAGAAGAAAGATTCAATGTCTAAGTCCTCATTCATCTGCCTGATGTTGTTTATATGTCCATCAGGATGCATGGGAAGCTTGGGACCAGCAGGGCTCCTCACAGTGGTTTGAAGAGATGAGAGTGGCACAGCACCTACTTACCTAGGTCATGCACCCTGTCCATGGGATTGGAGCCACAAGAAGACATAAGGCAAGCTAGATCTGTGTCTGACAAGAGTAAGTGACCAAAGGGATGGAGAGGTGGCATGTGCCAGAAAGACGAGGACAGGGAATCTGAACCAGGGAGGGTCTGAATGCCTGTTCACAGATTTTATTCTGGGTATGGCACTTCAGTTGTGATGGATGAGCTGATGGAGAAGTGTGAGAAACCTCAGTTAGAAACAGATTTTGGTTATCAGGCTGTATTTAAAACCTGGAGAGGAGTTTGTGGAAATGCGCTTCAGAGGAGGCCAATCCTTTGAAACAGCCTATCTGTCAGGATTTCTCACAATTTGGTCTTTAATGTCTGTCTTTTGGCTAAGTAAAGTATAACTCAGCATTTCATCTTCTCATTAACTTGCACCACCACTAGGACTATTAGCCTCCAAATGAAACATATTGGAAAAGAGTTTAGAAATATGTTCTTGAATAGCTTTGTGGTACATTTGGGTGTGAATGAGACTGTTGACATCCTGGGTCCAGACTTGCTTTCTGCTGCCTGCTGCAGTCAGGATGCTGTTGGAGGTTGGTCATGGGAATGGGAACCAGAGAGGGGCACAGAAAGGGAGGGGGTGATGGTGGCTCCAGGGTGAGAGGGTGCAGTTTCAAGGGCACAGATCTGTGCAGAGCTGATGTGGCAGGTGTCCGAGGGAAACTGAGGCAGGACTGAGACCTGGAAAGATGAATTTCTGCTGCAGATGTATCAGGGGAGGCTAAAGAATAAACCTAGTGCCACCTAGCCTTTAAGTGCTTCCTAAGGAAAAGAGCTGGGCATTTCAGACCATGGGGTAAGGTTGATGATGGCTTTTGTCCTGAGAACCTCAGCCACAAAGGTTCGAGCCCAGCCACAGGGATGCCCACTCTCAGAGTTCTCAGATGTTCACTCTCAGAGGCAGAGCTGAAGCGTTGGTTTTCCAGGTCTGATTTCTCCTCTTTATCACCTGTGTGCCTTGTGGGTATTATACAACCAGGAGCTGGCATTTGTACCAGTTCTGTGTTCTCATGCACTGCTGTCTACAGCTGGGTTGCAACTTACTCTCTAAAAAGAGCACTGTTTCTCTTTAACACTGTGCGTAATATTTCAGACTGAAGGCGCAGAACTACCTTAATATTACCAGAAGAGGCTTAGGAACATAGAAATCACCTGGATAAGAAAGGACATGACCACAGTTCTGGTCATTGCACATGATTACAGCCTGGAATATGGATAATTTTTGAAAAAAACAGGAATTTGGAAATCAGGGATGTGAAAAATGCAGTGTTGGTCCTACACGGTTTCTGATCTCTGAGAGAGGATTTCACAGTGATGGGCAGATAGCTAGTGACCCAGTGGGCCGCTGCGTGGGAAAGGGTATTTGCAGGGTAGGAACCATAGGTGGTCAGTGCTTTGGGTCTTTTACAGTCTCTGACCACTTGTGTACACCAGTCAGCAGCAGAGAAACACCAGTCTTTTACCACAGAAGATGAACAAAAGTTTAGATAAGTTACATTATCTGCTATCAAATTGTCAATCAAATAAGTGCATTACAATTGGGACAGGAGGCGCAAACTCATAAAGCTCTCAAATATTTTTATGCAAAAAGAATTCAGGATTCCTACCCTGGTAAAAGCCCCTGCTTTGCCCCACGTTAATATTTGGTTTGTTTTATAGGAAACTAAGGATTATGATGCCCTTTGAAGTTGTATTTGTGGGTTTTGAGGTGGTTAGGTAGTTCTCAGAAGAGGATACTGGAAAGTAAGAGACTTGCTGATGTCATTTTTATTTTACCACCAGTACCCAAAAAAGAAAAAAAACTGAGAGAGATGTTGATGGCCCTATATAAGGTGCAGTCACCTCCTGCAGAGTGCATCAAGAATCACAGCAAAGGTAAGGCTTGCAGCCTTCGTGCTGCTCTCACTTTACCTTGCCCACTCTCCCTGATGCTAACGCTGCTCTCTCTCATCAGTGCTGAGTGCTGTAGCTGCAACCTGCTGGAACGGACGATCTTGGACCGTGAGCCATGGCCTACCTGCAGACCTTGTCCAAG